AGACCCCCGCGGATCACGGGACGCAGCGTGAACACTCCGACTGCGCCCTTCCCTCCCCAGGGCCCGTGCAAGAGTCGCCTCTAGCCCCAACTAGAGACGACTTGGGCCCTCTGGCACACTGGTTCCGTGGGTCCCGGAACCCCGGCCCGGCGGCCAGAATCTTAAGCATATGTTAAGCCTATATTTCCTTTAAGTATAATAGTTGATTACAGAGTAATAATATTTACTTTGAATTCGAACGAACTGAGTAATACATATATTTGTTGAAAATATTCATCACGAGTCTCACTCGTTGTTGTAGGGCAAGGGGTTGAAGATTAAAGTGAAAATTGACGAATAAAAATGATTTATGAATAAAAATGACGGATTATAATATAAAATTAAACATTCTTACCTGGCTCGGCGCAGTACGTCGAACGTGTTAAGATTATTGGCGTCGATCGGATTGTCCTCGAGCTCCCACCTACTGATGGCACGGACGTTTTTGATCATCAGGAAATTTTGGAGGTAACTGAGGAGATAAATAGGCAGAGACGCGCCCTCCGCGGGAACCATAGCCAATCGTCTCGCCACCTCTTCCACCTGAAAACGTTTTTCACCTCGTAAATCCCCCGCGACCGCAAAAACCATCCAACTTTATCATCTCCGGCCAATCGGAGGCCGAAGTACGGACTCTAAATAAAAAGGGGTTGCATGGTATCGACGGATGCATGATGGAAATATCAAAATTCCCAGAACCGCCAGTGAAATTGAATGTTATATATTTATCAGTGAAACGATCTACTTCCTCACTTTCAGAGGTTTCTAATCTTTCGTTTGAAAGTCATTCGAATTTCCCCGCTATTTCAGAGTTATTCGATATGTGTGTTTATTATAGAAATTGTAATAAATGTCTGTTTCATTTAATTCATTCGTGGATTTGATAATGAATACCAGACGAATATGAAGTAGTAATAAATTTTGATTTAATTTATTTATGCATGTGATAATGAAAGATACCAGAACATTAAATGAAAATTTGTTACAACTTTATGTTAAATGAAAATTTGTTACAAATTTGTTTCATGTATTTATGTATTTGATCATGAAAAATGCTAGAAAAACACAAAGGAAAATATAGAACAGTATATTTTTAATAGTTGATGTAAATAGTAAGAAAGATATTGTTTATTGGTATGGAATTTAGAGTTAAAATCGATACTTTGAAAGCTGACGATGCTAATTGATCGCAGACGTAACTTTACCACGGTTCATACTAAATAACGAGGATCTGTCGAAATAGGAGACTAACAAGGGAGTCTAAATGCACCGTAAAAAGTGGAAGGGAAAGAAGAAACTGGTCATCGTGAAATTACCTTGAGGAACCTCGCTCGTAGTACATCCTCCGGGAACACACCCCTCTTTGCAGCTTCATCCGGAATGCCTTTGATCGCTGCTAGTACTAGAGGATCTTCTTTGGCTGCAACAAAAGGAAAATTTGTTAATGAACATCGGCGATCGACTAAATAAAATAGAAGTATAGATTTCAATTGTAATTCCTTAGAAATCATGATTTCTATCATACCAATAAGTAAAATTTACCAACCAATAAAATACATATCACCGAAACGAAACCGGTTAATATTTTCAAACCCGAGAAAATACATATTTCAAGAAAATACATCTGTATTTATAGTTATATATTATAAATATATTCTCACAAATTTCATTTGTAGCGTTCATCCATTGATTCTCGAAGGAAGATAAAATTAACCTTTGCTTCGAAATTCTGAGTACACGTTACTACTTGAAACTATTAAATCATTTAATAAACAATGTTAAATATTTAATGTAACAACGGAAGTTTGTATTCATTTAAAAACAACTCATACAATAAAATAAGGATAGTATATGATTAGATTCAATTTATTTTCCTTTCGTTTACTTTCCCTTCCCTTCGAAACAAAAAGAAGCTCAAAGTCTCCTTCTAGGCTTCCATTCAACACTAACTATACCGAGAACCGGTCAAATGGCAAAATTGAAAATTCTGCGTTTCCTTTTGCTCATTTGATTTTATATCAATTCCTATATCGTCCGATTAACACGTTCCGTAAGTAAGAAAATATTTTTAAGGGACACATGTATACGTATACGTTACGAAGCACCGAAAACATGAAGAAACAATATCGAAATATATAAAAATGACGAGAAACTTGAATATCACTTAAGAATTTATTTAAAAAATCAATACAGCTCACAAGTAAAATATAACCGAAATTTCGGAACATGTTAATTGGTTCTTCAATGTTCATCCTTCCTTTTGTTTCCGTTTCCACTAAAACAAATTTACCATCTAATTTGTTTATCCCTATTTCGTAGCCAGTTATTCGACTACCTACGATAGGAAAGGCAACAGTAAGGTATAGTGTTAAAACGTTCAAGGGTTCAAGCAATTAATGCGTCTTTCGCCGAGGATTCAATTTATTCGAAGAGCAGTTTCAAAGTGGCGAGGAGATAAACCGTTCCAGAAACTTCACCCGAAACTGAATCCTTAATTGCGCATTTCTCCAGACTTCACGCGACCGTTGCACGAACCCCGGAAACGGCGCGTCGTGTTTGCAAATTGATACCTCCGCCGCAATTCGCGAAAGAATGGTGATTGTCCTTCAATTCTGCAGCGGCAAATTTCCCGGCGCGGGATTTATTAACGTCGGGCGTTACCGACGTCCCGCCAAAAACAAATTGCATTACACCATATGCTGTTACGTCGTTGGAATACATTACTTTGCAATTCCGCGAACCGGTCACGTGATAAATGGATATAGGAAATTTTAAACACCTCGCACGGCGAGGAATTCTCGATAAAATCAATCGTCGATTCCGGACCAGTTTCTACAGTGAAACTTTGTATAATTCAAAGTCAATTCGATTCGCTTCTAAGAGAAAATATTTGTAAATACACTAGGACATTTAATGAGTAATGGAATTTTCTATGATAATTTAACTATCTCTAGCTTAATTATTTTATCTTAATTTACAAATATACTTTTCAATGCCATTTCAAAAACGGCGTTAACATTGATTTTAATCGAAGATTAAAAAGACGTAGGTATTAATTTTTTATATTAGAAATTAACATTAAAACAATATTATTTGTGGGATATAATATTTATTCATATATTTCTTTTATCGACTAGTTTGAGTTTGATAAAATTAAATGACGAATTTTACAATTTTGTGTTAACCATTTTACCTGTAAAGATCATCGGTGTCGAGGATATAAAAGAATACGTAATTAATTTTCTACACTAGAAATTAACATTAACGCGTTGAAAATACACAAAATGGAAAAAATATAATATCAAATCATTTCATTGAATTGCATTAGTATTATTATTACATATTCATCTAGCTGAATGTCACTGCATTATGTAGTACTATTTACAATAGAAATGTTTTCAAATAATCAACGTTTAATTGAATGTATTACAGTAATTCGATTCGATTACAGTAATTACAGTAACACGGCATTTAACGTGTTAAGAAGACAATATTATTCGTGGAATGATGTAATACTTATTCGTATATTTCTGTTGTCAATTAGTCTTAGTTTGATGAAAACGAAGGACGTATTTTACAATTTTAAATTAACCATTCGGTACTTGTAACACGAATTATGTCTCCGCTTCAGAGCCAACGGAGTGCAAAGGGTTAAACAGTTTTACCGAGCCGACCGTAGTCAGAATTTATTCAGTTATGTGGCCCGGCGAGGAAATAAAATTTATACCGTGAATTCCTCGTAATTAAATGTCGAATATCGCGCGGCTATCCCGCGGAGTATACTAAAATTTCGCGCTGACAAGCGTTAGACAGGCCTGTGCTGGTGCGCGCGCGGTGCTGTACTACTTACGCTTGAAAAATTCAGTAGGTTTTATTAAAACTCTCTTCGGGCTGCGCCGTACGATGTTTGTCGAGGATGTGAATGTGAAGTTTGTTTAATGACAAGGTAATAAAAAAAAAATGTTTCAATTTCGCTGGATTTCCATTAATAATACTTAAAACAGCTGGTGATTTGCAGTTGGACGTTCAAACTTTTGTTTCCTTTTTTTAAATGACAAGACTACTGACGAGTTAAATTCAATGAATTCTGTTGATCAATGCTTTATGAACTGTAGAACTATGTTTGCTGAGATTTCGATTGTATCTTGGTATACGAGGGGATCATTTTTAAATCATTTGTTCGAGGAATATTATTATGTTTGAAGTAATTGTAACAGAAATTCGGAACGGACCATTCTGAGGAATTTAGTATTTCTAGAATTGAACTTGGTGAAATCACGATATAATTATTTTGTTTAATTTCCTATAATTTCTCGGTGAATTTATTTATATCATATAATCACGTAACAATAATCATGAATAATAATAAAGGTCATATGTGAAAGGAGAATAAAAACAGTTTCTACTTAAACCAATATATAGCAATCTTTGAACTGAAAATAATTTGTATAACTAATAAATAACTTTTAATCCATCAAGCTTCATTAATACAAGACAGTGTTTTATTTCCAAGATAAAAGCTCAATTTATCTACTAGACCTTTGAACTTCGTACGAGATACATTCTCATTTGCCTAAGATCCTATCAGCGCAGCGGGCTTCATTGTTTTAAAATAAAAACGGGCCGTTGAGTCACAAAAACATGGAAGTAGTAGAACGACTTCTCGTGCTTTTATTAAAACCGAGTTTCAAACTTCTGACAGGGGTATTACTGCCCTTTATCCCGGGGATGCATTGCGCCATTTCAAATCCCGTTCGCGTACTCCATTTCCGGCGACAAGGGTAACTTAATAGCAATACAAACTGCATATTCTTTCACTAACTCACGCGGACCTTTGGCGAAGCAATTGCGCGATAAGGTCTCGTTTTAACGGAATATAAACTCTGAGCGTCAGAGGAGATTGAAACCCTACACTTCAATTAATATGCCTAATCCTGGGGCAATTCTGCGTTACTGAATTGTAAACATTGTGCTCGTGTTCCGATACAAATAAATTGTATATGGAACACATTGTGATTTACATTGCTTGTGAAATATTCGCGAATGAACGGTGAGATGAAATTTTAGTAGGGATGCTAGTAGTATAACCCTACGTATAGTCAGTGACAAGTAATGTTTGAAAGGATGATCATTCCGTATAATGTAATATTTGGCGTTCGGTATTTAATGTTTAGTGTATTTTGATATCTCAAGAGTAGGTTTGATATATGCTAATCTTCTAAGTATCCCAATATTCTACTAAATTTTTTAATTTTCCAGTATTTCAGATATTTCATATTTTCTAAATTCTCCAGTATTCCGAACATTTCATATCTTCTAAATTTTCTAGTATTCCACATATTTCATATTTTCTAAATTTTCCAATATTCTAAATATTCTAAATTTCTAAATTTTCTAGTATTCTACATATTTCATATTTCCTAAATTTTCCAATATTCTAAATATTCTACATTTCTAAATTTTCCAGTATTCCACATATTTCATATTTTCTAAATTTTCTACTATTCCACATATTTCATATTTTCTAAATTTCCCAATATTC